CCCTTCGGAGGCGTGGGGAGGAGGATGGGGGATATCCGGCGAGGCGGGGGGAGTGGGAGGGGGAAGACTCCAGGAGGGGCCGCCCTCCCTCGCCCCGTCCCCCGCCCGCTCCTGTTCTCAAGGTCCGGCCCCACGCCCACAGAACACGCGCCCGACCAGGTGCCCACGCCCCTCTCTGGGAGGTCCCCGACAGGCCGGCCTCTCCTGGGGCAACCGGGAGGCCCGGCACGACAGTGCCTGCCAGCAGGCAACCGCTCGGGCACTCGACCAGCACGGGAGGCCTCCCGGCGGGTAATTGCCGCCCCAAGCATTTGGCGGCGCGCACAAGGGGGGTAGGAGGAGGGGGGAAGGCTCCCTAGGAGGAGGCCGCTTCTACAAGGCGCCCGCCCTGCACCTGCAAACGAGGCCCGCGCCTTCCAAGAAGCAGGAGTGCTCGAAGAAGCCTTCCCCTTTCCCGAGACCTCCCTCTGCGGGCAGTTGAACATAGCCCACCCTGGGCAGACTGGCCGAGGACGGCCCCAAGACGTACCCCAGACCGGTCCGTCCATCGCCAGGAAGGGCCCCCAAAAAAACTCACCCGCTGGCCCCAAAGCCCCCCCAAGAACGGACCCGAGGCTCCCACTGGGCCACACCGAGGCTTCTAACAGGGCGCAAACGAGCATTACAGTCCAGTGGACACACAGCGAACGCTCTCGTTCTCTGGCGAAGGAGCACGGTTAAGCTACAGAACTCCGCGCATAACTGTCCAAGCTCCGCATCCTGTAGCAGATGCGACCCAGGAGGGAAGAGCAAGGAAAGAGGAGGCAAGAGTAGGAATGGCGCATAAACAAGGAGGAGGAGGAGGAGGACTGGGGCATGCACGGAACGCATGCCAGGAAAGAGGGTCAACGAACACGATCTCTCCTGCGGAGTCTGTAGTGCAACATAGGCGACGTGTTCGCAGAAGCCAGGCCAGAGCCGCCAGGCACCGTGGAGCCAGCAGAGCTCTTCGTCCTCGTCCTCCTCGTCACTCCCCCAAATCCGCGCCCCTCTTTGCCCTCGTCCTCGTCCTCGTCCTCCTTTCCCTCCCCTCCAGACCCAAGACGTCATGACTTTTTTCACAACGTCGACACCCGAAGGTCTCGACACGTTCCCCGGGACCGGTTTCCCATCCCGAGTCCTTTTTTGACGGTCTCAGGGCCCAGTGAGGGCCCCCAGAGGCCGAAAATAGAGAAATCTTCTCATCGTGATTTTTGGCACAACCCGAGGGGGTCTAGGCTTCAACATCCTCAACGCCATCATCTGCTTCCCATCTGCGCGAGACAAGCACGGACCCATCCTCTTGACGACCGCGTCGTCGCAGCCCAGGAGAAGCTTGATCAGCATGGGGAGCGCCGGACCCGCCCCGAGGATCCCCGTGATGGCTCTGGGGAGGTTCTGATTGCCCGTGGGCATCTTGCTGCGGCCACCTAAGAGGGGGGGCATTCGGGGGAAATCGGCTAAAATCAGGTCGGGCAGGTCGGACATGTCCTCCTACAGGCGGATTATGGAGGAAAACCAAAAACATTGCCCAAAAAAGTGTACGCCAAAGAGATTCCAAGGACAGCCGAAGCAGCGCCCCCAGGCTACTGCCTGACTCTTCTTGAACATACCTCCTATGGAGGGACATGCCCGACTTCAGGCCAAGAGTTAAGTCGGGCCTGCCCCCCTACAGGGAGATTTTCGACGAAAAATGAAAAATACCCAAAAAATAATCGAAAAATGGTCCAAAAATAGTCTGGGGACTATTTGTTGAATATTTTTGGACCATCTTGGAGCATTTTTGGAGTATTTTTCATGTTTCGTCGAAAATCCCCATGTAGGGGGACGCGCCCGACTTAAGCCAAGAGGGGGAGGAGCATCGCCCCGGCAGCGGAGGGGGCACCGCCGACGGCTCGCCGGGCCCTCGACGGCGAGGAGCTGCACAAGAGTCCTGGGCGGGGGGCGGGCTGCCGGGCCCCCGTGCGTCGACGATGGGCGCAGAGGATCACCGGCACGGGCCGAAGTCTTCGCATGTATGTTTGAGTCGGGCGCGTCCCCCTGCAGGGGTACTTCCACGAAAAATAAAACATACCCAGAAAGTGATCCAAAAGGGTCCAAAAGTACTCAACAAATAGTCTCCAGACTATTTTTGAACTATTTTTGGATCTGCCCCCATGTAGAGGGACAGGCCCGACTTAAGTGTATGTCCGCCTGGCTTTCGAGGTGGCGGACGGAGCGCCCCAAAGGGCGGCGCCAGAGGCGCTGCCAGGGAGGCCCAGCGCCGATCCAAGAGATCCGCGCGGACATCCCACTGTCTGCGCGAATGCCCCTCTTCGTCTTCGCGAGTGGGCGAGTGGGTCCGGTGGCAACTCATGGGAGCCTCCCGTGCCATCTTGTCGGCTCTTGCGAATCGACGCTGGTCGACGCTACATCGACGCTAATCGGTGCTAGATCGACGCGAATCAACGCTAAATCGGCGCTGTCTCATCGACTCCCAGACGCTGCTGGACGCTAATCGACGCTAAAGACAGAATTACGAGGTCATATCAGGCTCCCATGATTTGCTACCGGAATTGGAGGTCGATGCATCACTCCCTGAGACTCGTCCCCCCCAAAACGTTACCCCTGGCAACCTATCAGCAGCACCACGCTGGAGATGACGCGGCAGGCTTCCTGGCGCACGGCGATGGAGTCGTGCATCAGGAGGTTGGTGGCGGCCGCGGCGACGTCGGACGTTATGGCCTGCGCTTTGAGCTCCTGGTGCGAGCACAGGTCGCAGACCTGCGGAACAAAAACAACCTCGCCGACGTGGGCTTCGGACGGCCACGGACGATCCTCCCGCTGGGCCCCCGCCCACACCCTGGCGCGCGAAGCGCGCCTGTCCGCGGACGTCCGAAGCTTATGCTTATGTTTGTGTCTGTGTGTGGCTTGCTCGCTAGCTGAGACCAAACAGAGCGCGTCCACGAGCTTCTCCGGGGCCACGTCCTTATCCTCGAGCTGCCCCACCAGCCGCGGAAACAGGCGGTCGCCAAAGGCGGTGCTGATGTCGTCCTTCTTCAGGTGGCCGGTGATATCCTCCAGGTACGGGTACCTTGGGCGGCACGCAGAAGGGGGCGGGCGAGGGCAGTGGCCTTCTGAGAGAGCAGCGGGGCTACTTCTAAGTCGGGCCTGTCCCCCTACAGGGTGATTTTCGACGAAAAATAAAACATACCCCAAAAATATCCCCAAAAGGTCAAAAAATACTCAAAAATAGTCCCCAGACTAGTTTTGGACTAGTTTTGGACTATTTGGGGGGTATTTTTAATTTTTCGTCGAAAGTCCCCCTGTATGGGGAACAGGCCCGACTTAAGGCTACTTAGAGAGACCTTGGATGCTCCTGGGAAAGTTTCGGGCAAAGTGAGAGCCTCTTAGAGACGAGGTTATTCGAAGTCCGCATCCACTACTCTTCTGGCCAACCAGAGTCCGCTCAAAGCCGGTCCATGGAAATTTTTGGGGGCTCGTCCAAGCCAGCTCATCGCCCGCGTGGGGCGCCTGCAGGTGGCAAACCAGCAGGCGCTCATGCGGTGAGGAAAATACACGTCGGTCGGAAGAAGTAGGTGCAAACATGAAGGAGGAATCTGCGATAAGCGAGGGGGGGAAATGACAAGGAGAAGGCCTTCTCAGAAGGCGGCGGGATTTCTCAAAGCCCTCGCGCCTTCTGAGAGGTTGTTTGTCTTCCGGGAATGCTTAGAAAACTTCTCAGAAGCATGGGGGACCTCCGAGCCTTCTGAGAAGGCCTTTTCCTTTGCCCTTCGCTCGCCGCTGAAGAAGAGCGTCAAAAGTGGATTGGGCCTCCGCCCGCCCCCTGACGAGGAGGGAAGAGGACCGGCGAGTACCCTGCCGTGCACTTCCAGGAAGGCATGCCTTCGGCTGCGGTGCCCCAGGCACACATACGAAAACGATGACGGCGGGAAAAAAGGGGGAGGGGGGCCCCTGGACTTTGGACGCCCGAAATGGGTACTGACAAAATGGGTACAATGCCCAACAACAAATGTTGTCCCAAACCAACAGCGGCCGCTGTTGGGCAGGCGGCCTTCTGTCTCGAATGGACACAGGCCGCGGCGGCGCGGACAGCGAGTCCTGCTCAAAACGAACAGGGACTGCTGCTGGGCATTGTACCCATTCTTTCCGTACCCATTTCGGGCGTCCAGATGGACGTGCGCTACACCCTGCGCGCCGCCGACGCCCTGGCGACGCAGGGAAAAGGGGCCTCACGCGACCACGGCGCGGAGGCCTCACGCGGAGACCTCACGCGGGCCGCCCTTCGCGGCCCGCTGTGCGCCGAGCGGGGCCCCCGCGCGCGCGCCCTCGCGCGGGCGGGTCGCGCGCGGGCGCCGGCGCTGCCCACACCGACGGCTCCCTTCGCCGCCCACGGGGGCACCAAAAGGTATCCATACCGCAACTCCTCCTCCTCCTCCTCCTCCTCAGACGTGGCCATCTCCTCCTCCTCCTCCTCCTCCTCCTCCTCCTCCTCCTCCTCCTCCTGCTGCTCCTGCTCCTGCTCCTGCTCCTGCTCCTCCTCCTCCTCCTCCTCCTCCTCCTCCTCCTCCTGCAGGCGCATACCTCCCGGGGTGCGCTCTCACCCAGGACTCCGAGGCGAGCCCAGCGGTGGCGGCGAGGGCCTCCGAAGAGGCCCGAGAAGGGAGAGGACGAGAAGAGGGCAGCGGTATGGGCACCTCTTCCTCCTCGGGAGCGAGCAAGAGGAGGATGAAGGTCCGAGAGAACGGCCCGAGCCCCGAAACCTTCCATTCCCCCCAAACTGCCTTAGACCTCCCCTTCGTCCTCCTCCTCCTCCTCCTCCTCCTCCTCCTCCTCCTCCTCCTCCTCCTCATCATCATCCTCATCCTCATCCTCATCCTCATCCTCATCCTCCTCCTCTGAGCTCGCCTGTCGGCCAAGAGCTCGCTGACGATGTGCCGCTTGTAGCCCTGCAGCGGCTGAACGGCCGCGCGGACCGCCATGGCCGCCCAGCGCCGCCGCGCCCCCCAGAAGGGCACGGCGTGCCGGGCGGCCGCCCAGGACAGCTCGCGGCGTGCGCGGTGCTGACGAGCACGCGAGGACGCGGCGCGCGCCGACGAGGCCACGCGGGCCGCGAGGGTTCGACGTCGGACCGTCGTCGTCGTCATCGTCGTCGTGATCGTCGTCGTCGTCGACGCCTCCTTTCCCGCTTCCTCGCCTGTTTCCCGAACTCCTGGGAGAATGTCAGGAACAAAACATGCGCAAAGGTCAAGAAAACACATGGCTGGGGCCTTTGGGGGCCCGGCTGGGGGTCCTCTTAGAGCCCTCTTTGGGGCTCCCTGGGCTCTGAAGGGTTTTCTCGAGGGCATCGTGGCATCGTGGCCCGTCATGGAGCGATGTTGTGCCGTTTGAAGGCTCTCCTTTCCCACTTTCGTATCATTCCCGAACTCCTGGGTGGGGTCTCTGTTCTCTCTGGACGCTCCCGCGCAGGAGCCACTTCTACCTCACCTCCTCACCCTCTTAACCCTCCAGTGTCTCCCTCTCCCCATCTCTCTGTTTCTCTATCTCCCTATATCTCTCTCTCTCTCTCTCTCTTGCCTTCTCTCTCTCTCTCGCTCTTTATCGTAGTCTCTGTACGTAATATGTATTATATAGTTTCTACATATATCTATACGCATGAGAAAGAGAAAGAGAGAGAGAGAGAGCATGATCCACCGCCGATGTGTTGTGGAAAATTCCCCGCCCCTCTTCCTCCGGAGCGCGGGGGTCCCCCCCCGTCCGAAAATCCCCCCTGCTCGAAACCCTTCCCCCCCCTCCCCTGGTCCCCCGGCAACCCCACCACCCGAACCCCCCCCCCCCCCCCCCCCCCCCTACCGTTTCGAACCCCCCGCCCCCCACTGGAAAACCCGGAGGGGTCACTAACGGTTCGAACCCATCCCCCTCACACTCGCCGCTAGCAAACGACTCCCAGGTCCCAACCACCGTCCTCACCACCCCCTCACCACTGTCCCCACCACCACCGTCCCCACCACCGTCCCCAGTCCCCACTGTCCCCACCACTGCCCCACTGTCCCCACTGTTCCCACCACTGTCCCTTCCCACTGTCCCCACCAAAGCCCCCTCACTGTGGCACTGTCCCCACTGTCCCAACCACGGTCCAACTCTCCCCACTGTCCCCTCCACTGTCCACACTGTCCCCACCACTGTCACACTGTCCTCACTGTTCCCACCGCTGTCCCACTAACTATGCTGTCACACTGTCCCCACTGATCCCACCACCTTCCCACTGTCCCCAGTGTCCCCACCACTGCACCACTGTCCCATTGTCCCACCACCGTACTCACCACCGCCCTCACCACTGTCCCCACCACCACCGTCCCCACCACTGTCCGATTGACCCTACTGCCCCACTGTCCCCACTGCTCCCAACACGGTCCCCACTGTCCCCACCAGTGCCCCCACCACTGTCGCACTGTTCCCACTATCCCCACCACTGTCCCCACCACGGTCCAACTCTCCCCACTGTCCCCACCGCTGTCCCACTGGTCCCACTTTCCCCACCACTGTCCGTCCCAAAATCCCCGCTACCCCCACCGCTGCCCCGATGCCCCCACTGTCCCCACCAGTGTCCCGACTATACCACTGTCCCATTGTCCCACCACCGTCCTCCCCACGACCACCGTCCCCACCACTGTACCACTGTCCCCACTGTCACCACCACTGTCGCACTGTCCCCTTACCACTGTCCCCACCACCACCGTCCCCACCACTGTCGCACTGTCCCCAATGTCCCCACCACTGTCCCATTGTCCCCACTGTTCCCACCACTGTCCCCTCTGTCCCCGCCAGTGCCCCAATCACTGTCGCACTGTCCCCACTGTCCCCACCACCGTCCCCACCACGGTCCCATTCTCCTAACTGCCCCCAGTGCTCTCACCACTGTCCCACTGTCCCCACCCCCCCACCACCATTCCAACCACCACCCCAACCAATGTCCCCACCTGAGTCCTCCATCCAGAGTGCAAAGGAGGGGGGTTCGTATGCTGGCGACGAAGAGGGGGGAGGTTCGAACCGGTAGTGGCCCCCCCCGTTTTCATGAGGTACCGGAGAGGGGAGCTGGAACCCCACGTGACGGGGGGAGGGAACCCCCAGTGACCCTCCCTGGTCTTCTGCCAGTGGCGGCAGAACTCGCTCGTTCATTTGTATATGTTTACATACATCTATTTATACACAAACAACTAGACACATGTACGTGGACCTATGTGCATGCTTCGGTTGAATGTGTATCCTTATGTCTCTTTCTCTATAGGTATATGTATACTTATGCCTGTATGTTCCTCTCTCTCTCTCCTTCTCTCTCTCTCTCTCTCTCTCTCTCTTTCTCTCCTTATTTTTCTCTTTATATCTCTCCTTCTCTCTCTCTCTCTCTCTCTCTCTCTCTCTCTCTTTCCATATATATTTATACACCTATACGACCACCCTTCGGGTGATAAGGAGGTTCGGGTGGGGGAGGAACCAACGTCTCACTCGATCGGTCTCACTATCGATCTCACTATCGATCTCAGTATCGGTCTCGCTCGATCGATCTCCCTCGATCGATCTCACAATCGATCTCACAATCGATCTCACTCGATCTCACTCGATCTATCTCACACTCGATCTCACTCGATCATCATCATCATCATCATCATCATCATCATCATCATCATCATCATCATCATCATCATCATCATCATCATCATCATCATCGTCCTCATCATCATCAACATCATCATCATCATCAGCATCACCATCATCATCATCAGCAGCATCAACATCAGCATCAGCATCATCATCATCAGCAGCATCATCATCAGCATCACCATCACCATCACCATCATCATCATCATCATCATCATCATCAACATCATCATCATCATCATCATCAGCAGCAGCAGCATCATCATTGACATCCTCATAATGATTAGCATCATCAGCATGATCACCGTAATTGCCATTATCAGCTCTGTTACCCTTACCATCACCATCACCATTTGCATGATCAGCACCATCATAGTTATCAGTCCATTATCACTGTAATTGCCACTATGGTTTTCCATCGCCATACAAGCAACAGCGTGGTTTCAACTGTGATCACAAGCATGATCATCGCCGGCATCATCCTCATCATCCCAATATGTATAATCCGAATTAGTGTCACCAGCATCATCATCACCAGCACCAACGATGTCATCATCATGATCAGCGCCATCATTGCACGCACACTCACGCGCTCGCAACATCATCATCAACATCACCAACATCATCGTCATCCTAACCCTTTTGCACGTCTTGACTAAAGTATATAAATCATCCCACATGTCATCGTCGTTTTCGTCACCACCACGACCATCATCATCGTCACACCATCACCGTCATCGCAGTCGTTACCGTCATCATCATGTCAATCGTCCTCATCCGTTCGCTCATCATCGCCAGCATGTCATCAGAACCGTCTCAGCATCTCCATCACGTGCATAAAACACAACCAGTACCATCGTCACAAGCATCCTCATAATACAATGACCACGTATACATATTCACTCAATACCCACGTCAACATCATCACACCACGACAGCCCATCAGCATCATCACTACCCTATACACACTCGCGCGCTCACCCACACACACACACACACACACACACATTCACACACACACACACACACACATATATATATATATATATATTACGTCGGCGGTTGGGCAGAGGTCACTGCTCCGTCGATCGGGCATCACTGGAGCGCGCTAGATGCAAATTGTGCCGGGGCGCACGGTGGAACTGGAGAGGCCGCCGTGCGCGGGCGGGAAGCCGGGAAGCCGGGCCCGCCCTGGCAAGTCCCAGCAGCGGCAAGGCGGACGCAGGGGTGGCAGCCAGCCGCGACGCCAAGCAGCATCACACACACACACACACACACTTTTGTCAGCAGGGCTGGAGGGTGCAAGCGCGTCTGCAGAGCCTTCGGGCCGCGCAGGGCACCAGAAGGCACACCAGGAAGGGCGGAAGAGAAGAGGGCGGCCGAAGGCAGAGGGGCACAGGAGGCCCGGACAGCCGAGTCGGCAGGGCCGGAGCGCTGGCGGCCTCAGCAACCAGAAACCAGCGTCCTGCCACGTGGACGCGGTCAGTCCGAGCTCAATTCAACAATCACACGCACACGCACACACACACACACACACACACACACACACACACACACGCACACACACACGCACACACACACACACACACATGCGTCGACATTGAGAACATCTCGAGCAGGCGCCTCGCTTGCGAGCGAATTGCGAGGAACTCTCGAGCGGAGGGCCCCCCCTTATGGGGACCCGAACTCACTTTACCAATCCGATGCGGCCATCAGCAAACTGAACCAGGCATAGCACCTAAGCACCCCCAGAGGGGTAAATCGTAAGAATGCCTCGAATGGGTCTCTCATCCGTGTATTGCGAGGACGTCTCAAGCAGGAGCCCCCGTTCTAAAGGGCCCCCGCCTCACGCAACTAATCGGGGGCGCTCATCGGCGAACTGCACAAAGCATAGGCTCAGAGCACCTCCGAGGGGCAAAGTGTACGGGTGTCTGGTGTTGGGGCCCCGCCTGCGAGAGAATTGAGAGACGTCTGGAGCGGCCCGTCCTTCCCCTCTTCACGGAGCCCCACTTCACGTTACTAATCCAGGCACTCATGAGCAAACCAGACCAGGCATTGCACTGAAGCACCCCAGAAAGCAAATCGCGAAGATATCTCGAGCAGAGACCCCCTCTCCCTCAGAGCCCCTACTTGGCGGCGCTAATCCGGAGCAGGCATCGACCAACCGCAGCAGGCATAGCACTTGTGCGCCCGAAGCGGGCAAGACGCAAGGACGCCTCGAGTCATGTTGGCATTCCGACCCGCAGCGCCCTCCGGCTTCATCGGTCAGAGGCACCGACGTGTCTGAACGGCTTGCTCCAGGAACCGGTGGAAGAGGCACGAG